GTTGGAGGGTGGTACAGGAACAGGAAGGAATGCGACACTCTCTCCTTCTCTCCCTCTTTCTCTCCATCTCTCTTTCTTTCCCCATCTCTGTCTGAGTCTCTGTCTGACGTATGCACACACACACACACACAGCAACACAGATAAATAACGTTTGTTATTCTGAGTTTCATAATACTGTTAGTACACTGGCTCACTTAATAACTCAATCTGTCTGGAGAATATGATTGATATCTTCACTCACCTTGTCGCTTCGGATAGATATTTTGCTGTATTTGCATGAGAATGCTGAGAGACTGAGTGCATTTGGCATTTTGCACAAACCTCATTTTGGCGTTATTTGATGAACACAGTTTGCCATTTTCAGTTAACATTGGCCCCAGAATTGACCAAGTTCTACCAGTGTCAGCCATTCTAGGATACAGGTTTCTAGGACACAGAGTACACCTCACATGTCTAGGATAGAGAGTACACCTCATGTTTATCCTGTAGCTCATACAGCAAGTTACAGAATGATCATAATGAGAGTTGCTATCTTCATCATTGGACTGCTATGCCTGTTGTTGTTGCTCATTGCAATTTTGTTTGTCATTGATTGGACTTACATTTTTTTCTAAATGCTAATTTACAAAACCCAGACTATGCCATAAGACAAACAATCAAGTTTAAGCGCTATTAGCCCGTGTAGTGCACACCTGAGACCCCAGTGGCTTAGCGACAGGAAGAGGGTGGAGAATCTGATTGGTTTCCTCAGGGCTCGGTTTATCTCAGTTCCCAACCCCACATTCCCTCACTCCCTCCCTCCTTCATCCGCCTTCCTTCTATGCAGAACAACCCAAACTCTACTTTGATGAAACACATTTGTTTGGCTTAACTCTTCCATTGCCATCACGACGGCCATATCTCGGAGGCGTAACTTGGCTCATCAGCCATGTAGCGAATGAGAGGATATATGTAGGACTATGGGACTTCACCGGAGGACCTGTTTTCCATTTGGGTCTGGCCTGAACTGCCATGTTATTAGGAAAACCTTTATTATTGTTGCCCTCTAGTGGGAACCATGTAATAGGATTACATTTTATTGGAGCCTCCCAGCATTACCCAACCAATCCCCCCTCCTCCTCTTGTATCTCCTCTCTTCCTCTTATTGCATTGTCATTACCTCTTCTGTCCACTGTGGGTGGGCTGGCTGTATGGCTGGGTTTGGGATGGGAAGAACTGGATGTATGTATGTAAAGAACTGGATGTATGTATGTATGTAGCTGTGATAACATCAGAGTATTAGTGAAGATAGGAGTGGTCCTATTCAGTCTGTTTGAGCACCTGTCTACCATCTATCTGAGGGCTACCTCATTGTGTGAGGGTATGCTGCTATGTTCAGTCTTGTTATGTGTAATCCTTTACTATGATATTTCTGGTATATTCCAACATCGAAACCATCATGGGGGCTAAACAAAAGAGAACATGTTCATACAGATGCAAGTCATGAAGTCATCAAAGTTTCTTCATTATAGGTACAGTACCTTGATGGTACCAAACCCAACATACGCCAACCGCACAGTACACTTTACCAAAACAAGCGGTCTCCCGAGTGGCACAGTGATCTAAGGCACTGCATCGCAGTGCTAGCTGTGCCACTAGAGATCCTGGTTCGAGTCCAGGCTCTGTCGCAGCCGGCCGCAACCGGGAGAACCATGGGCGGTGCACAATTGGTCCAGCGTCGTCCAAGGTAGGGGAGGGTTTGGCCGGCAGGGATGTGGGTTCGTTTCCCACGGGGGGGCCAGTATGAAAAAAATAAATAAAAAAAAATGCATTCACTAATGTAAATGTAGCTGCTACAGAGCCTTCCTTAAAAGTGATATGTCCCAGTGCCAAAAATACAATTTGATGATAAACTGCAGGCAGGCCTAAACTATACATAGCCGTAGGGCAGATTGAGTCAGATTCACGAGCAGTCGCAACCCTCACCCTATCCAGCCCACTCCCTTACATAACCACGGGCCATTACAGGGGTGTGGTGTGCACAGCAAGAGTCATTAATGTGGTCCGAGGCAAAATAACAGCAAGATCTCTCAGTATGTTCTGAATGAGGATAACTGTGGCCACTGTTGATTGAGTTAATTAGAACTATGGGGAGAGCTGGCAAAATCAAATCAAAGTTTATTGTCATAGAATGAAAGAGCCATGGGCATATACTGACTGAGGGAAATGGATATCAAGCCACCAGTACTCAGTACACACTAGTCTGAACTAAAGATTCAAGAAGAAGAACAAATTAACTTCTTACTGATGACACATTCAGAAGTTATGAGTAATTCAACAATAGTGAAAACTCATAGTTTAGACAGGAGGATAAATATATCTTGGAAAGAACCAGACTAATAAAAAAGAGTGCCATCTGCCTCAAAAAGGAAACAAGTGATATAGTAATTGTGAGATAAAATGAATAAAGACAAAGAAACCATGGCTATGTATAACTGTGGCTCAGTTGACTGTTTTCCAGAGAGTTGGAAAGTAACTCAAGCCTCCATACAGTGCATGCATGTATAACCTTAGGCATGATGTCATCAGGTACTGTAGCCAGGCTAGGTTTGTTTGGGGCAAAATCACATCTGCAAGCCATTTCACTAATTTGTCCACCAAAATATAGCTTTGACAGAGCTCTCCCGCTGTTGATGCTGCAGCAGCTAGGTTATTTTCCAAGTAAAACATACCACACAACCACAGTATTAGAACAATGGAATTGTTTTTGGCCCCCGAACACCAGGCAAGAGTATTCAAAAATCACCACTGGCTAGCTGGTTTTCATTTCTACAACATCTAATGCATATCTTTCATACTGAATCGGGAGGGCCCATTATGACTTGGCTCCATTTGTGTGGAAAATGGGGAACGTATGAGATTGAGGCCTTGGGTGCTCTCAGTTTTGCTACAGTTTGTCAGCCTGATGGCAAAGATTTATAAAAAAAAATGAAATAAAAAGTGCAGGAGGATGGGGAAAACAGAAAATGCAAGGCTTGGTGTTTGTGCGCCAGCCGGCAACCTCCAGGGCAAATAACTCCATAACACTTTCATCCTGTGTTTGTTTCCCCCAGGGACATGTTGGTCAAACAGTGGAAAGCTAAAAAGGCCCCTGTGCTCTGGATGGGCTAAGGATGGCTGGCCCTGGCCGTTCCTCGAAAGCAATCTCTGGTGATGATCTCTTTAGGATGCAATGGGCAGACGAAAACTCTTTTGATCTTGGAAACTGGACTTTCAGAGTTGGTTAGTGGCCAACTTGCTACAGTTGGTTGTTTGCCTGATACAGCCTCAGCCAGAGGAAATGGTTACGAGGGGCCAAACTATGAGTGAGATGGAGTATATTGAATTATCTGCACAGGCCTACTCCATCCTGGATAATGTGGTTCTCTTGTTTCCTAAATTATTTGTTTGTCCACACAGACCATGGTATGATGATTACATCTAGCATGTTTGAGTATATGGAAAACTGAAAAGGTACCTGCCTAAACCTCCATCTTCAAACAATAACTATTCTTATGATTTGTGTCCATGAGTCAATCACTTGTTACACAAATGCAACCATCTTCTCTCTAGTGTTAGTGTTTTGAATGGCTTAGTTCAGGAAGGACAGACACAGCAGATGAAAATCAACATCAATTGACATTTCTGGTGCGGATATGGATCAATTAATGCATATTATTTTGAAACCTATGAAGGTGAATAGAGCCCCACAGTGGAGGTGTCATAATACCCATAAAACCTAGCGGTCAAACAGGGAAATTGTTCCAATTGTTTTCCACCATTATTTTTTATGGGATTTTAGAAACACTTCAAATAAGGGTTGTGTTTCGTGTAGGCTTACCCTGGCTAGACGTTTTGATACCCTGGCTAGACGCTTGTCTCTCGGACAAGGTGACTTTTAGCAATATATTTGGCTCTATTTACTTTCAAATTAGAAAATGTTAATTAGCATCAAAGTAGACATCATGCAAAACTACAAATTCCTGAAAGCTATTGCACCTAGGGGACACCTTTGCTAACAGGTATTGTGTCCATTTAAAACTTGCACAAGACAGTTCACAGAATAGTCCATTTAAAGAAATGATACCCACATTAGCAGCTAATTAGCACAGGTGAATATATTGATAAAAGTCACCTTGTCCTAGAGAGATTTACATGGTTATCAAAATGACTAGCCAGGGTAAGCCTACATGAAACATAGCCCTTATTTGAAGTGTTTCTAAAATCCCCTATGGGAAAAATAAATGGTGGAAAAACGATTGGAACCATTTCCCTGTTTGAACGCTAGGTTTTATGGGTATTATGACTCATACTGTGGTACTCTATGTAAATCTATAGATGTAAGAGCTTTTTATTCTCCATTCATAGCAACTTGTGCTTTTAACAGCAGGGGGCGAAAGAGAGGATGTAAGAATTTCTAATTCTTGTGCTTATTTGTAACAGGAGGGTTTGTGTGTTCAACAGCAGTAGATTAGACAAATGAGCAGGTCCACAGTTGAACATGTCAGGCATGTGGCTCTGTTTGAGTGAAAAGCCATGTAAAAGATATGGGTAACAAAAATATATTGAATTTTTTTGCATTATGTATAAATCAATGAAAGGAAGAACTTAACCTTAGCTGTCAGTATGCCACAGTTTGAAACTTAAATCTTCAATATTCCAGGGCCCGATTTCCCAAAAGCATTTTAAGGCTAAATTCATCAGGATATATGGTTCTAACGATTAATTTAGCCTTAAAATGCTTTTGGGAAACCGGGCCCAGAGATTATGCATGGTTGAACATTTGAAATGAGCTCGTGCATCAGCCCCAGGCGCTGATTCAGACTTGATTGGGGCTAGGCAGGCTGCAAGTACTTATTTATATAACTATGTCATTTGGGAAGTTGGCCAAAGGGAATGGAAGAAGAAGAAAAAAAACGTGTCGATTTTCTTTTAGAATCCATCCATTGATTTGAGTTTATTGTAATTCAACAAGTTGTTTGATGCTGTGACCATTTATGTTCGAGCTCCAGACCATAGAAGATACACGTTAAAAAAACAAATAATCAAAAGACAACCAACAATCTATATAATTATCACCATCTGCTGCTTTTTCTTCCTGGCAAAGAAACACTCCGTCCATTTGCAGAAATCGCCTGCGGGAACGTTACATCAAAACTAATCATAACGATTAAAATCAGCTTTGCTGTGCGAGAGGAAGCCAATAGGGAAGTTGGAGACAGGCGTGAGGATGTTGTATGCCGAAAAAATAGCAAGATTTTTTAATACGATTTTATGAAGAAATATAAAATAAATGTTCCATAAAGTCCGAAGCACTGCTGTAGTGATCTGTTTTTTTGCTCGGAATTTTACACTGCAGATTGGTTTAGACTGGGGTAGAGACATGAGCTAATTGTATCCTGATCTTTGCCTTGAGGGGTTTGGAGCCCTGGAGCAAGTATTCTCTGTATTTTGTTCTGTCTACCTTAGCCAGGCTATTGCATTTCTCACTGGTGTAGGAAGGGAAGCAGATCGCAAGCGAAATCGGAGGGAAAGGGTTCTCAAAAATATACTTTATGCCCATCCATGTTTCAGGTAAGCGGAGATTTATTTGGTTTGCTATTATTTCCTATGCTGGTTTGACTGGGACATTCAAGGCACAGCTGCTTTTACGCATGTGCCAGGCGATGAGCGCCACAGTCTAACACATTTAACCACTTCCTGGATATTGTTAGGTGTTTAACAACTGTATTTTTTTTCTTTAAGTGCCGGCGAGTGACTTAATGTTTATTTGTATTTTCACCGAATTTTACGACCTTCGTTCAGCAAACACCGTAGCTATCCGTCCGTGTGAATTCGCTCCTGGCGCATTGTTTCAGCCCGAACACATCGTCGCCGTTTTCCCCGTCGGACGTCTTGTCACACACAAACCGAGTTTAGGCATTTCGATAGAAAAAGCCTCTATCTTCGTTTGTCCTAAACCAGTTTCATTTCCTGAGTGCCCCAGATCTGGCTAATGAAAGACGCCATTGTGGAGTAATTTTGCCGGAGGGTTTTTTTTATGTTGTAAGACCGGAGGTACCTATTTTACACACGTCAATGCAAATTCTGTGAATAATATTTGTATTCGGCGTCGCTTTGTAACGACAACCATATCTATGTAAACCAAGAGAAAATGTAGGCTACAGTATCTTCCTTTTGCTTCCCATAGATCTCTTGCGGGACTGACCTATACCCGTGCGCAGGGAATTCCACGGTACAGACGCGCCACTGCAAATAATTAGATACTCCCGGGCGGAAGTCTGGATCTATGTTTGCATCTTTGTAGCTGTGATGTTATGGAGACAAAACATGATATATATGGTTAGTATTATGAGTGTACAAATTCGAATTTTAGGAATGATATTCATCCACAATGTTTGTAATAAATTACTAGCGAGATCTATGGTTGCGCATCAGGATGTGGCCACAATGGATATGTACACACTATGCAACTTTTTGGATTTATACTTGCCATTTCTTAAAATCTAACTGTATACAGGCTGCTGGTGATAACTTATCCCCACCCTTTTTAATGACAAAGTAAAACGCGCACATGTTATGTAAAAAATGTAATTATTCCTATTCCTTACTTTTGAGTGAAATGCGTGGCACTAGGAGCATTCACTGGAGGGCGCTGTTATGACGAGCAACATTGGCATCCGTCCGTAAAAGGGCACCACAGCTCACATTGCTCAATGTGCTTCTCACTTTGTCACACCCATATATACAGTCATTGGTCACACCTGAGAGGATCTCCAAATGTACAATGAGGGCACCTTTAACAATTTTTGCATGATTAAACAGTGAACACAACAGCAGGCTATGTCCAGATGAAAACAGATTCCTACCATAATGCAACTTTTTATTACATGTTTTGTTCACACAGACACAATGTAAAATATTTGTTGAACACTAAACATAGAAACTGACTGCAACTAAGCGTTGATTAATTGTGCCAACTCCAGATTTGTTTTAACATGTTGCGGTGTGGATACAGTCAACACAATTACACCAGACTAGGACAAACAAGCAAGTCACTTGAGACAGAACAATTTGTTTAGCGTGTTCTTGCAGAATTAAGTCTAAACTTGAGTAGCAAGGGAATGCTGAACCACTAACAAATGGTAGAGCATGTGTTTTGTATACACAGCCATGTGGTTGGCCTACATTATTCAAAATGGCAACAGGTGGGAAGACTGACTGCAGCAGTTCTGAAAGGAAATGGGGATTAAGGGAATGGGATGTAGTATCAGTCCCCACATACAGGTAACTGCCAAAATAATGGAAACACTTGAGTAAATGAGGGATACAAAGTCTATTGAAAGCAGGTGTGGCTCCTGAGTTAATTAAGCAATTAACATCCCATCATGCTTAGGGTCATGTATAAAAATGCTGGGCAGGCCATTATTTTGGCTACCATGGCTATGCCCCCATAGGATGACAATGCCCCCATCCACAGGGCACGAGTGGTCACTGAATGGTTTGATCAGCACTAAAACGATGTAAACCATATACCATGGCTATCTCAGTCACCAGATCTCAACCCAATTGAACACTTATGGGAGATTCTGGAGAGGTGCCTGAGACAGCGTTTTCCATCAACAAAACACAAAATTATGGAATTTCTCAGAAGAATGGTGTTGCATCCCTCCAATAGAGTTGTAGACTCTATGCCAAGGTGCATTAAAGCTGTTCTGGCTCGTTGTGGCCCAACGCCCTATTTTAAGACACTTTATGTTGGCGTTCTTGCGATGCCTTGCAGTGTTACTTGTCAGGTTCTACTGATGATCTTACCACCTGGGTATTCTGGGTCATACAGCTAGGCAGATTTCATCTGGTGGTCCATGCCACGATAGGTATACGTTTAGATGTGTACTGTATGGGTTGAAGTGTGCTCCTGCTGTTTGAAAGTAGGAGTAGTCAAGCTGAAAAAGAATCCCCAGGAAATGGTTTTAATTTGAGTTGGGATGAAATGGTCGTGCTACATGTACTCAATCCCATGCTCTTTTTCTCCTCTCCCTCGCTCAATGACATGCGCGCGCACACATTTTCATGATTCTTCTAAGCAGATTCTCCACTCCATCCATCTTCATGATGGCAAGGCTTTGAGGAAAGCCAATTCCAGCGAGCTGGTTTTCAGAACTTTTTACACACACCATCTCCCACAAATTAGTCAGGGAACAAATTACCTGCATTCTGAGTGTGATCCCACGCACTTTGCCGGCTGCCGTACACAGGTCTCCCTTTTGAAGAGCGGCCGTGTGATTTCTCCCTCTGTTCGCCCCGCGGGCCCCTCTGCCTTCTGCGAGAGGGATTCTGGAGTTGAATTTTAAAACGATGAATGGCGGCTTGCTGCCTGTGCTTATCAGCGCGTGCACAAGCGAACTGCATGCAAATCAGGGCAGGATCCCACACCACAGTTGAGGCCTGCACTCAAAGGCAGGCTTAATTGCTAATTGGGTATCTAGGTGTGAAACCCACACTGCCAAAACGGAGAAGTAAAAACATGAATGTTTTAAGGCGAGTTGCGGTTGTTTTTAATTAAATTATTCAATTTTAACTGATTTTAAAATGAGTGGATTGGATTTCCTAAATGTTATAGGAAAATAACCCAGGAGAGTGTAGTATGTGTCAATACTTCATGTAGTTTGGATTCTGTTTATTATACAACTACAATGAGCAGTCAGATGTGGTGGATTTAAAGTTACCATCATGGTGTGTATTATGATCTTTTCTCAGTGCTGTTATCATGGAAAATGTTGGATAGGAATATATTCTCCCTTTCTACTTTTTGAAAGATAAATAATAATTTCCTGTGGATCTCTGATATGCCATTAGATTAGATCTAGAAGTGACATTGAAGTCTGCATATTTCTGGTATGGGCCAAGACCATACTGCTTTATAGGGGGAGGCACTTTAGGACTGTGTGTGGATGGTAGGTACCTGTAGGAACTATGAAGGGCACCTGCATAACTGTTAATAAAACGAGATGAGGCTAAATATATAACCATAACAGACACTGCGAAACAAAGTGGAAATGTGTCCACAACATTGACCAACATTATCCAGCTAGTTTATGTAAAAATGGGTGGTGGGGTGTCATTGTTTTAATTTGATCATCAAATCTAAACTACAATCTTAACAGCCCTCCTGAATACAGCCCATTGTTTTGAGAGAATAATAATAATCATTTATTCAATTTTTTTATAGCGCTATTCATGACAGAAATAAATCTCAAAGCGCTGTAAAGCAACAAAAAATAATCAATTTAAAAACAACATTAATCATCATGAGTAGATCGACGGTTTAAGAGACTGAAGGTTGAGAAAGTTCATGGTTTGATTGAGGTCAGCGGAGGGCGTACGTACACTATCAATACTATTAGTGTCTGCTTTATGTCAGTAAACAGGTCTGGAGACAGTGTGCTGCGGAGACTAAAAGGGTCTGGGAAAGGTTAAGCGTTCATCCAGGGTCGCCAATGCCCTGGGGGCTAGTGTGTGTGTTTAATCTAGAACAGAAACATGAGGTCTCAGCTGCATTTTGATGATGTAATTTGGTTAGTCACGGAATACTCTGCACTGTTATAGTGTTACATTAGTTACTGAGCTTTGTGTTTTTACCAAGGACCTGTTGCCAGACTTCTGGACAAGGTTTAGCTTCAGATGCAGGCTAAATGGAAAAGTAATGTTCAGGCTACATGTTAGTGCTTGAGAGGCAGCTGGAACAAAGGATGGCGAAGAATAGAAAGGGCAAAGGTCAGGGCGCAAATCCAGATGTGCGTCATCATTGGGATATACTGCGCTTTTGGGGTGGTCCAAAGATCAACCTGGTGTCTGCTTTATAGAATACACCTTAGCAGACGCGCAATTCTACGGTAAATGTGACAATACCTTCCTTTATAACAGCGACAACCCTAAAAACTCAGGGGCACCAGGATGCAAATGTTGTCGGGGGGCTTTGACTTATCCCAACAACCATTGCCAAAGCGGCACAGTGACTGTCCGCCACAGAAGCATCGCTCTTGTTTATGGTGTGCTGCTGCCCGCCATTTACCCCTCTCTGGAGTCTGCAGGTGGAAACCGACAGCATCTCCAGCTTGAAGCCGGTATTTAGTGCGCCAGGTTTGATAATGGAAGCAACGGATATCATGGATTTAACGCATCAGAAACCGAGAAAGCACCCGCGTCCAATCAATTCCGTGGATGAGTCCGTACTACACGCGTCCCTGAAACGAATCTCAATGCGAACAGGAGCGGAATGCGGGGACGCTCCGTTCATGTACTCGAGAAGCGACCCCTCACCTGCAGCATCACTAAAGCAGAATGATAATTATGTATCTTCCTCGTCATCGCAGGTAATAGAGATTTATTTTGTCCAATTCGTCTCGAACTGTAGTCAGTTTGCGCCCAGACAGTCACTCACACATGGTTGGTTTCCACTTTGGCATACTGTCTGTAGATGCTTTGTTTTATGTCGGTTGCCTAGCCACCAACAGTGGAAGTTGTTGGATTTATTTGGTGTGAATCAATGCAAATGTTTTGTATCAATTTTCCCACATTGATACAATCGGTTAAGCAGAGCTAATGTAATTTAAAACTTAATCTAAAGTTTTCAATGAAGGTGTTCTACATCCCTTTGTCATTACTACTGAATTAAAAGTAGAACATCTACATTTCTCCCTCCAATGACAATGTTGGCATGTTGTGCAGAGATAGACGTTCTGTATTTTTCCTTTTCTCTTATTGGCTCAGAGGAGGGTCTTGAACTTGTGATTGGGAAACTCAATTTGTTCTGTGTGCCATTAGAGATATTGCCAGCTAATTGTGTTTTTAGGTTAACAGGGAACATTTCTAAATCGTATTACATTATTCAAATCTAGACTGATTATTGCTCATTTACAGTCTGTGTGAGATTGCTGCTCCAAATTAATTTGGTTTTGGAAGATGATTATGCCCAACAGATATGGAAGGTTGTGCTTGGTAACATTCAGGTCAAGGTCAGGAAATACTAGGCTAGTGTAACACAGAGGGAGACATCTATTATCCCAGTCCTGACGAAACAGAATAGTTGGACCTTGGCCAACTATTTGACCATAACTTTTTTTCAGAATGATGACGATAATATTGTCTGGCCAATCAAAGTCCTTCAATGTTGCTATGATGAGTTCTTAATTTCCAGGTTTTATTTAAATGTAACCTTATTAACCTGTGTGTACTAACACACTTCCTGTTTGGTGTAAATGTAACTGTTTTAACTGGATGCTGTTCAGTCAACATTTATCAATGGAAAAATAGATATTTACATATTATGAACAAATAATTTTAATGGCTTGTCTATTCAATCTGTACTGTCCACCATACTGATAATCATTTAAGATGATTTGTCTACTTGTTTGTGACAGGATAACCGTTCCAGCATGTCCAGGCCAATGATCACAAGATCGCCAGCATCTCCCCTGAGTAACCAGGGCATCCCGACACCCGCCCAGCTCACCAAGTCCAACGCCCCTGTACACATCGACGTGGGCGGACACATGTACACCAGCAGTCTGGCCACGTTAACCAAGTACCCAGAGTCCAGGCATGTGTCCTCTGCTATTGATACAGTTCCTCAATTACAATTTAGTAAACCAATGTCTTAGTTTTAGCACTTTTGGTAAGCAGCGCCACAGAGTGTTTTAAATCTATGTTGTTCGTATGTGGCTCTAGAGGGTGTTTGGGATGATTCAGGGGTTGAAAGTGAAATTATGATGTAGCTAGTATCCTAGCCCATCATTTCAGCTGTGTTCATCTGCATTTGCTCTCTGACTGCTTAAAGATGCAGTCCGGGATCTTAAGCACAACAAATTCCTAACATATTGTACGAATTGGATTTGTAACATATCATACGAATTGCAATTTTAAAAAAATTATAAAAATTTTGGGTAGGACGTAACATATCATACGAAATGGATGACGCAGTACACAATTGGATGACGTAGTACACAAACTTGGACCCGTTTTGGCTCGTGAACACCCCTTTCAAAACTGCTGGCTGAAATTATACAAAAGTTCTGCAGGATTACTTTAATGTCAACCTCTGACAGCTCAGCTCGGACATGTCAAAGTTCATCCAATCACAAAGATGCAGCACTCAAATGGATGAATGAGGTGGGAAAGACTGGATTCAAACACAGGGCTTGATATTACTGAATGTTTAATTATTGAGGCTATTCTACAATACAGTGATTACAATTACAATCCATCATAGCAATATTTCCCCACTATACCAAATACAAAATGGCCTCCTTTTTTCAAACCCGCCCCAGAGATATTTTGAGCAGTAAACATTTGCATGGCTCAAAAGTCTAAACTGCAGACAAAAGCAGCTCACTAATTCGGACAGATGTCCCAGCAGCAGTAAAGGGCACGGAGACATCTGGAGGCAAGAGGGCCACGCTGCAGCCTGGGGCCAGGCCCCCAGGGCAGCACCCTGCCTCAGGTACCTCTCTATCAGCTGGCCCTGACCCCTCCATCAGACCAGACCACAGCACAGCTCTTTCCTCTCATCCATACCACTTCATTTCTCTTTCCCTCTGATTCTATCCCTCTGTTTATCACTCTCTTCCTGTCTTTGTCTGTTTCTCTCTTTCATTCTTTCTCTCTTTCGTTCTCTCTCTCACACATTGTCTCTCGCACTGTCTCTCTCTCTCTCGCTCTCTCTCTCTCTCTCGCACTGTCTCTCTCGCTGTCTGTGTGCATGGAGCAGAGTAATGTGTGCATCACTCAACAAAGGTGTAAAAGAAATCAAACACTCCTGAGCTCACCCACATCCAGTGAGTCATTGCACAGAGTCGCTGTCCTGAGTACTGTCAACTCAACTGTACTGCTCAACAGCTCAACTCAAGAGTAGCAGCAGTTTGTTGGGCCCTATAACATATGATATATTGAACATGCATGGAAGGAAAACATTATCTACACATTGGCTAGATTAGCAACCGAGAATTTAATCATCAAGCATTTTGTTCCAGGTCATATGTTTATTGATCTCTCGCTCTCGCTCTGTGTTTCTCTGTTTCTCTCTCTCTCTCTAGAATCGGCCGTCTCTTCGATGGCACAGAGCCCATAGTGTTGGACAGCCTGAAGCAGCACTACTTCATAGACAGGGATGGACACATGTTCCGCTACATCCTCAACTTCCTCAGGACTTCCAAGCTCCTCATCCCAGATGACTTCAAAGTGAGTGTCTGACTTTCCCCTCCACTGTAGTGTCCAATCATCTGGTCAAACCCATAACAATAGTATATAGAGAGTGTATGGCTCTAGTCAGCATAGGTGCAAAGTGCAAAAAGCTGATTTTTGCATAGCCAAGCTTGACCACCGGGGGAATTATATTGTATACTCTCCATTGACGCTTCCAAGATGTTAGTGAAATAAAAAAAACAGCAAACATGTTGCTGGCCACAAATTACAGGGCCTGTAGACTTTATGACAGAGCTGTGTGCAGTAGGTTTGTTGCTTGACTCTAACCCCTATATTTGTGTATGCCGTGCACTGATGTTCAGTGTGTGACCAGAAGAGTGCAGCTGATCCTCACTGTATGTGACACATTTGCATTCCGTTTGCTCGCTTTTTATATGTCGTTTAGCCCTTAATTACAAACTTGCCCCGAGAGAAAACAAATAATCACATTATCTGATTGACTGTCCAAACACAGTGTGAATCAATCAGAGGGAAAGTATGTCAGCTAAAATAAGCAAAGACAAAAGACAGGCCCAAGTTCAGACGGAGGCTAAATTCACCCTGACAGACATGCTGATGTGAGACTGAGTCTGAGAAAATTAGAAAGGGCAATTAAGCCCTGCTGCCTTCTGGGCAAGATACCCCCACAAGCCTTGTTGGGGTTTGTGGTAGACCTAGATGTTGAAGAGAGACTAGTCTTGCTCTGCATATTTGTAATACAGTGAATTGTGTCGCTGCCTTGGTTTCACACAGCTTGTGATAGTATGGACGTTGACTCTTCTCACTCCTGTTATGGTGGAAAGAACCCATCCACTTTCACCCAAACAGGGAAATTATATTGAGATGCTGCCCTTGTGTCAACTTGTCCTAACCTGACAGACCTGGTCTCCTCTGTGCTGCCCTCTGCAGGACTACAGCCTTCTGTACGAGGAGGCCCGGTACTTCCAGCTGCAGCCCTTGCTGGCCGAGCTGGAGCGCTGGCGCCAGGACCGCGACCTGGCCCGGGTGTCACGCCCCTGCGAGTGCCTGGTGGTACGTGTGGCGCCCGACCTGGGAGAGAGGATCACGCTGAGCGGAGATAAGGCCCTCATCGAGGACGTGTTCCCGGAGATCGGAGACGTCATGTGCAACTCGGTCAATGCCGGCTGGAACCACGACTCCACACACGTCATCCGCTTCCCGCTCAATGGATACTGTCATCTCAACTCTGTCCAGGTGAAGACACATACATACACACACGCCATGGTTAGTCTCTGGGGGCACTGTATGTTCACTAGATATGAATGTTGTATAGAAGGCTAGACGCAAATGTTCCTTTTATGTTCCTCAGTTATGATGAAACCATTGCCTCAGTCAAAGATTCATCCATAAATGAAAGCACAGAACCATTATTATAAAAAATGTTGGACGTTTATCCATTCTTACTGTATATTGACGAAAGCCTTTCTCACATACATACACACAAATAAACCACTCTCAAGTGTATGCAGTGGAGAGAGGGGGAGAGAGAGTGAGAGAGAGGGTGAGAAGTAAAGAGAGAGGGAGGGAGGGAGAAAGAGAGAGAGCTACACTCCATTCCCTGGCAGGTTGTCCTGAGGCAGGGCCCATAATCCTGTTTGGTTATTAAAGCACGCCGGAGGTGGGTGCTGTATCTAGGCCTAATGGAGGCAGGGTGGGGTGGCGGGGGAGACTGCCAGCATTGGGGGGAACCTTTGTAGTTCTGGTGGGGGCTTTGGCCCGGAGCTGGGGGGAGAGGGGGGCGAGCTGAGCCAAGTGGCACAGAGAGGGAGAGAAAAGCCCTACTGCCCCCTGGGGTCTCTGATGGAATGTGATCCTGCCGCCCTCCGGACACGTTTGTAGATGTCTGCAAGGCTGCTGGATCGGGGACAAATCTACACACACACAGAGACACATGCAAACAATGAGAATAAGTCAGGTAGTGAGAATGATACGCTCTTGGTTTTGGGTAAGAAGGGATGGATGGATGTCCCCTTTCTTCCTATTTATTCCCCTTCATTCATCTTTGTCTTTTGTCATCATTATTTTACTATATAATATGTTCTTCTCTGTTCATTCAACCCTGAAGCCTTTTTATTGTGCTAGACAAAGGAGCATGTTGTCATTGAGTCTGATAAGAGCATCGCGCCTCTATGTGAACACTGTTTCTCAATCTCCTCCCTCTCTTCAGGATAGCTAAATATCCTCTGTGTGTAACATCTAAAAACAGTATTAACAATGTTACCTCAACACCCCTTCTCTCTCTGTGTGTCCACCAGGTGTTGGAGCGTCTGCAGCAGCGTGGCTTTGAGATTGCTGGCTCCTGTGGTGGGGGCGTGGACTCGTCCCAGTTCAGCGAGTACGTCCTGAGGAGGGAACTGAGGAGGGCGGGCCAGCGAGGAGGGCCTAACTCAAACAGGATAAAACAGGAGCAGCTGGACTAGACTAGAGACCTCGCAGAAACTGGGGGGCGCTAGACTCTTTTTCGGTGGCAGCCAAGCGCTCGACGGGACACAGCGGAACTCTGTGGACTCTGTGGGGCTATTCTTGCAAACATTAGAATAAGTTTAAGTTTGTCTCAAAATTTGCATCAGCTAATTAAAATCATTGACGATGTTGCACGTGTTCAAATGCTACATATTAGCTTTTCCCATCAGAAAACCTGCCCTATGCTAACCTAGGCCAGCTGGCAGTGATTGTTACCTGTAACAAATTCTGCATCAGCCTATCTTAAACTTAATATCCATCAACCAATGGCATTTCTTAAAATATGTCAACTTGGCCACCAGAGGGATATTTTTCAACCACCAAGGTTTACTTTTGTTCCTCTTAGTCTGTCTCAAGTGTGGAGTGCCAATATTGCATGATGCATCCTTGATTAGGCTACTAGCTAGGTTATCTGATGGGAACAACTAACATATAGCGTTCGATCACGTGCAACTATGTCAATGATTTTAATTAGCTGGTGCGCATTTTGAGACCGAGAAAAAGTTTAAACTTAAATGTATTCTAATGTTCGCAAGTATGGCCCGATGCAGCGTGTTCTCTTTTTGTTTTGTTTCTTTGTCGTTATATTTTTTACAACTTGAGAAGAACCACTGAGAAAGAAAGAAAATAAGGCGCGACAGGATAATTTTTTTGCCGTAAGAGATACAGAACATTTGATAAGATTATATCTCAAGGACATTTGTGAATGTTCAAGCCCCCCCCCCCCCCCCCCCCCCCCCCCCCCATTGAGAGATAAGAGGGTTCATATTGTTTTCGCAGGGTCCCTAAGTGAAGTTTGTTTTAAAACTTCAAACCTACGGTTAGATATAATTTCCATGATTAACAACATGCAACATTTTAATGGTTTGACTGCACATGTAGTGCAAGGCCTCTCACCAGTGATTTGTAGTTTTTCATTTACCCACTGGCATATTGGCCAAGTCAAATTGTTCTGCCATACTGTAAAAAGTTCACTGTAATATGTTGCAAGATCTCAGTTCACATAAACACCATTATTTTGAACTGAATATGATACATTCGTATCCACACTCTTATTCACACAGGATGTTAAGTATCGTGATACATACAAATGAAGTGGTTTTATCGAAGTTAGCTTATTGGATTTTATGCTATGAAATATAGTTCACAGTATTATCAAGATTTTATGTCATAGACCATTCTATACTCACTAAATGAAAATTATTAAGTAAATTATTATAAGAAATGGCACTGAATTGCCTCTTTTAGGGGACTAAGCCTAGAGAACAGTTGTGATTTAATTTAGAGGATCACAAGATCCCATTGAGTGACATACTGTAAATGAGATTTGCCATTGTATATGTGTTTGTGAGTATTTTTTATGTTGAAATGGACACCTTTTTAAACTGAATAATGTTGCCTCATTAATGACTGAATAGGTGAGGCTATTATTATAAGACCCACATTTAAGAATTACTCTTAGGACATATTGCTGATTATGAATTTTGATGATCATAAACTATTTCTAACGCGATCTACCTACGCTCCCTAGATTTGAGTAATAAGGAATGTAGCACTAAAATGTTAAATAAATCTTCAACTAAAGTTGTACCGATGACTGACCTTTGACTGTGTCTTGTTATGTTGCTAGGGAAATTACCGGTTATGATTGCACATAATATCATGCAATATGCTGGTGTTGATTCTTGTTGTGTGCAATCTTTATGCATGTTCAACACCAGCAGGTGAACAAAAATCAAGTTTCGCTTTGTATTACATACATTTTACACAGAATGTTTTGATATACAGTATTAAGTCAATTTCACCCCCATTCTCCAATGCTTTCTCTCTGTCCTCCTCTGTCATCTCTCCCTTTCACTACTGTGGCATTTTCTGTATACTTTGTGCTGGCTATAGGCACATAGAAAGGGAAAGGGGGATACCTAGTCAGTTGTACAACTGAATGCATTCAACTGAAATGTGTCTTCCGCATTTAACCCAACCCCTCTGAATCAGAGAGGTGCGTGGGGCTGCCTTAATCGACATCCACATAGACAGACCCCACTTTACATCATCAGTAAGAGTTAGAAAGGTAAAGCTTTGCTTTGCTTCAGACTCTGAAGCAGCACCTCCAAGGTTTTCTTTGGGGTAGATTGGTGACTCAATTGGGCGTTCTTTACTTGGTTATATTGAATTGAGCCGACTGCTCCACGCAAGTCCTGTCAGTTGTGTTTCCACATATCCCTCCAGGACCACAATACAAAGTGAAATCCCACACAGAGTGCTGTCGTACTGTCTTCATCCCTCTTGGCAAGATCTCAACTTAATTTTCTATTATAGCCCTGTTGGTCCAGATTCACTTCTGACTGACCGTTGTTCTTATAGGTTAGAGGTAATACTGTGAATTGCTCCTATTGTGCAAAGCATGCTGCTCACAGACTTTCAACTCTTGTTAGTATTTTGCAGGTTCGTTAATAAATTGCAATTGTGGTATTTAGGGAAATTGCCAGTGTCACATAAATACCACCATACATCCGAAGTTTACTTCAAAAATTGAGTTTTGCTCCATAAGTAACCAGTGACAATGACGGTACTCGTATCTAAATAATGTTAAGTCTACCAAAAGTGTTGTGGTGGGGGGAGCTGAATGAATGCTGCAACTTCTGATGCAAAATGACAGTTGGTGAAATTCCACTTCAGAAGTCTATTCTGAACTAGCATGGTACAGACAGAGCAGAGGTACTTTTTGTGCACCCTTATGTGATTTTGTAGTTTGCACCTGTAGGGCATCAGCATCTGTAATGATACCCTGTCCAGCCCTATCTCTTCATTTCTTGAATTCACAAGAGTTGAAAAGGAATCGCAGATTGCCTCCTCTCAGGACATTGCCTGTCGGAGGAACAAGATGAATGGTATTAAGAAGCAAGACTGGTGTTTCCTCTCTCTGTGATCATGTCTCTCTCTAGTGATTAGTCCCAGTCATCAAAAGAAGGGCAGTGTGGCCGGTAGACACTCCTCGAAGGGCTCTGGTCCTCCCCAGGCCTTGCTTACTCACCACTAGTGAAAGTCAGTGTATGGACTCTCTCACCTCGCCACCAAATCATCACTGGCTTGGCAGCTTACGGTAGCCAGTAATACAAGCCACTGTGACGGGCTGCTAATGAGTGCCCTGGCATACTGTATCTCACTAATGAGAAACTGTACTTTGTCTAACTTCTTCTTCTCTCATAGGTGCCTTAAACCTGTATTGGAGAATACAAAATCTTGGAGGCTTTTAAAAGCCAGTGCGATGATAATTACAAACGTTAGACTTAGTCTTCACTTGAACGACAGAAAAACACATTTAATAGTATTGAAAGGAGACATCACTACATCTGAAATATTGAATAAGAGACCCATACATGTCCCTTAATTTTCAAGATCAAGTTTAAAGTATTTTATTACATTTGAAAGCCCTTTGATGTGACTAGCCTTTGTACATCAATCGGGACGCCAATGCATTGGTTCAGTTTGGTAATAGTTTTTGTAATTGTGCTCTAGAAACAACCACATTGCCAAACCTCAGACCCAGCAGTTTCCCAGTTGAGCGTCTACTAATACAGTATCTGTGACAGCACTCCAAGTGGAGGCCGAGGAGTAGTACTACTGAACACGAACACGCTGAGCTCTGTATTGTTTTATTTATCAGTCTAGCCTTGAGTTAAGATGCGCTTGCGGTGAGGAATTTTAGGCTGGACTATGGTCGCTGCGGGCCCCTTGGTATCCACTGTACACTGAGAGGGAATCATTTATATTCCACATAAGAGGTAAAAGAGGAACATGAGATTGGGAAACAGCTCCAACCTCCACTCTGCCTGTGTGTGGGTCAGGGCATAGAAAAGCCATGCAGATTTCAGGTTGCGGGAGCATATTCAAGCAGTTTTTTTTCCTTCAATTTTTTATGATTTCTTAAATCTGCCCATATGTATGCTACATTTTCCACTCATTCTCCTCTCATTCTGATACGCACACAAACTAAATTCCAGGTGTATTGCTTGATTATAATGGAATGGAATGTTCACTTTGGATATCTCTTCCCAGTAGTGAAATCCGAGAACCAGAGAACCTGACTATAGATATTATAGGTGCCTCTCTCTCTGCTCTCAAACCTGTATTGAAAAAGCCTCGAGGCCTTTTAAGCCACTGAGATAATTACAAACGAATCCTTTGGCAAAAGACACCAGCAAGGCTTTCTCTCTTTCTCTCAAGCACACACACGCACACAGTCTTGTTTTACTAACCTTGTGGGGACACATAATTGATTCCCATTCAAATCCTATTTTCCCTGACCCTAACCTTAACCCTAACTCCTAACCCTTAACCCAAATTCTAACCCTAACATTTAACCCTAATTCTAACCCTAACCCTAAACCCCCTAGAAATAGTATTTTTCCTTGTGAGGAATAATGTTGTTGCTTGTTTACTATTCTTGTGGGGACTTCTGGTCCCCACAAGTATAGTTAAAAATGTCCTTCACTCAGTCTCTCACGCTCTCATTTACTCACTCAATTTCCTCTCTCTCAGTTGGGAGTTAATAAGAGCTATACCCTGCCATTGATTAAAAGGTCTAAACCGAACTGCATTGCTCACCAGCCCTCTACTCCTCACCCCTACCTTCCTGCCATCCACATTGGCAGACCTGCATGTTAGGAGTAGTGCTCTAATGATTCGGGAGAGCTTGCCATTCGGGGGCCACCCATCCATCATTGCGGTAAGGCCAGGGGCTTTATTATAATACAGAGGACAGATGTGCACTGGGGCTATGTTGGACACAATAGAGGTCTTTCAACAGACCTATAAATACATGATCTGTCAGAGCCGCTGTCCTGGGGGCGCTCTCAGCCAGGCTCCAGCCCTCCGGTCGGCCATCACTTATGCTAAGATATGCGCTAGCCCTCGGGGCTGAGGCTAAGGCTCAGTTCATTTCAGCCCCTCATCAACCATCAAGCGCATTCTACCTCCAGCCATGAGAATAAATAAGAACAAGATGAAAAAAAGTGATTCATTATAATGGAGGAGAGTAGTGAAACCTTAACAAAACAAACA